TAAAGCATATCACATAGCTAATTACTTTTTACTACAGTTTATAATAATTTTTCAAAAGTATATATTTAAAATTTTTTTTTTTTAAGGAAAATTGGGATTGTGTGGTTAGTAAACCACCCCAAAACTACGTTCCTAGAAGGGAACGTGCCTTGTTTGGACTTTGGAGTGGAACATCAGTTGTCCCCTCCTTTTGGGAGCTCTGTGGTTAAGAGTAACCACCCCAAAACTTTGCTCTTTGTCAGAGAGCAAATGTATCCACTGGGTTGCCTCTCAGTCAGCGCTTAGTTTAATGTCTTTAGCTAGACATGGTACTTACCTTTCAGGCTTCTGGGGAAGTTGTTGAGGGAACTTCAGTGTCCCCTGGTAATGATCCTGGTGTTATTGTTTGGAGATTGGCAGCAATCTGTCCCGCATAGGACTTAATGTTCCTGACCACTGCATCATTCCTGGTGACATATTCCTTGACATTATTTTCCAGGGTGTTGATGCGTTGGTCATCTTTGTGGAACGAAACATAATTGTTTCTTCTTTGTTCAAACGTTCCACTGCTGCTACCTTACTGGTACTGCTGTTGCTGCGTGTTGAATGGTCTTTGGTTCATGGGTGGCCTCCATTGGGGATTATGGTTCTGATCTTTGGTGATAGTTCCTCCAGGATTTGAATTGGTATTGCGTCTTGCTCGTGATTGTCTCTGGTGAAGTTTCTGTTGCCAAAGTTTTCTGCATAACACACCAATACAGTGGATGGACAGTCTGTTGAGTTATGAAGGTCACCACAGGCTGAACATAGTTCAGTTTCAGCTGCTGTGAGTTGTAAGACTTCCATCCTTGGTGCTTCTTGATCAGCTTTTAGTTTCTTCACCTCATTCATGAGTGATGCCAGCTGGCTTCCATGGCAGTTTGTTTGTCTAGTTCTAGCATGCCAGGCTTCCTTACTGGGTTCACCCTGTCTATTGGCCATTGGAGACATCTTTCTGTAGTGCCTTCTATAATTTCATACCTGGATTCAAGTGTTCCTGTAAAAAAATTTGGACATTTTCTGATGATATCCTTGTATCTCTCCCAAGCTTCATAGAGATTTTCTCCATAAAACATCCTGAAGTTAGAGAGCTCTGCTCTCACATCAGCTTCTCGAGACATAGGGAGAAACCTCTCTATGAACTTGTTAGAGAGTTCCTCCCATGTGTGGGTTGATCCAGGGGTGAGAGTTTTTATCCATGTTTTTGCTTTCAAGCCCAAGGAGTGAGGGAATAACCTCATTCTCATACTCTCCTCTGTCACACCCTCAGCTTTAAAATTATCATAAATATCTTGAAATGTTGTGAGGTGTGTGTAAGGATATTCTGCAGGGAGTCCATTGAAGACTCTAGCTTCCCTAATCATGTGAAACATGATAGGTTTGAGTTCAGAATTGGGTGCTACAGGAGGGAGGATTACTCCTCTGTCTGGTCTGTTCCTAAAAGGAGCAGCCAGAGTTCTAAAATTTTGTTCAGGAGGAATATCTTCATTATTATTGTGATCAGCCATGTTTTCAAAGATTTCTTCCCTGAGGTTTCTTCTTCTTCTGTGAAAGGTACGTTCTGGTTCAGGCTCAAAGAGAAACTCAGGTATTTCAATGGAGTGGTCAGAGTTTGTTTCAAACTATTCACTCATAAACCATAAACACAAGTTATATGAACAGCAGATTCAGTGACAAGAAAATAAAAATAAAATATACAAAGTATATACTAAAACAGTAATAAGAACAAAATTTAGTGTTTCTATCCCTGACAACGGCGCCAAAAACTTGTTGGGTGGTTTGCTGATGCTGAAAAAGTATATATTCTGATGGGGGACGTTCCTCTGTTCTAAATTAGCAACAGAAAACAGAGTTGTTCCCTTACTTCCAATCCAAGTGCGCAAGTGCACGCATCAAGTAATAATGGGTGTATTAAGGCCCAGATTATCGTTCCCACGAGGATAGAACTCTAAATATTGTATTAAACTATTTTATAAAGAATGAGAATGAAAAGAAAAGTTAGTGATTGAACTGTCTGGTCAAACGTTCCCTACTGTCTTAACAACGTTCCTCAGGAACAGTAAGTTCAGTCTGATGGCAAACAATTGATCGTTGCGTTATATGTGATCCTTCCTGTTTAAAAGGAGGTGTGATAATAATCATTGGAGTTTGATAGATACAAGATTAAACAAAGTAAAAATAAAACACTAATAACTATAATCAAGAGACAACAAGGTGGATGATTTTAAAAACAGTTTAACAGAAGGAACGGATTCACTGCTCTATTCTTAAATAGTTATTTCCTCTACTCAAGACTTAGCACTTTTTGGCTTTGTCCCAGTTTCTTATCTGCCAACTCTGATTCCTCAGCTCATGGACTAGATGGATCACAAGTTTCCATATTCCTATGGCTCCCTTGACTCTAACAGGTACTTAGTACAGAACCTTAAAATGGACGAAGTGGCCCCTTATTCCTAAGGTGACCAATAGTGTTTTTGCCATAACACTACCTTCCCCCAATGGCTAAGCTGTCTAAAATCCCTTTCTTACGGAAGTTCCTTTCTCAGTATATGTTCAATTTTCATTGATACACAACGAATATAGCTTACTTAGCCAAAGAAGTACAAAAAGCTTCAGTCAAGAGTTTTGGAAATAATTCTTTAAGAGTTTTGCAGCTTATCCGTCCCACAAATAATTCAGCCCATGGCTGATATTTTAAACATAATTATTCTAAACTGAAATCCCATAGACCCGAGATTCAGTTAAGAGATAATGATTGGGAAGAAAAGAAGAAACACTTATATTGAAATTAAACAAGAAAGATTACAACATAATATAAAATGGAGAAGAGGGTTGGTGCTCGTGGGGAGTCTTAATGGATGATACAGAGTAAGGGAGAAGGGTTGTCACTTAACTACAGTTACAACTATACAAAATTAAACTACTAACTAATACTAGGTGATCTCTTCTTTTAGGACTTCAATCCTTCCAAATTTTGATGATGTTTCTGTGTTTGGAATGTCCTATTTATAGGCAGAAAAGGGAATGGCAGTCTTGTAAATCCTTTGGAGTTGGTTTCTTGATTGAAGGAATGGGGCGGTGGAAACTGTGTTTGGAAGCTTGCAAATTGCTTGATGGGACAGTTTTTGTTGATGATTAGCCGTTTTCTTGCAGTCCCTCATGCCTTGCTTTCTTCTTAGCCAATGAGAACTCTTGATTCTCTGTTGTTCACGTTTCTTGGTGCTTAAGTGGTGCACCGCCTTTGCTTTTAGAAGACGTTGTTTTCACGTTTCCTGCAAAATGAACAGAAGCATTAAATGAAAGGAGCAGGTGTAATAAATGCTCTCAATCCATTCCCCTTTTAATATGTTTTCAAAGGAATACATCATCATTTGTTCACCCACTGTGTTTTTGTCACAAATGTGCAAAACAAATGATTTTCATGCTGAAGTTGCTCATCTGATGAGAGAACGGATGGTATTTTGCCATAAAAATGGGCATAGATGGGAACAAATTTACGTCCCATCATCTTCCATCCTCAAGTGTTGTAATCTTTTTAAGAATTTACGTATAGCTGTGGTACCTTAGATTCTGAGCTATGACAGATTCTTTGTCTAAAACTAATAATCTTTCAAAAATAAAATCAACCAACCAACAAATATTTCTACAAAACGACATACCTTTTATATTTTCCTGTCAATTGTCGGAGCGAAATTTTCCTATCAAGCTCAAAAATACAACTTTTGTATTTTCTTTTCTTGTAAATATTCATCTTGTTTAATTTGCATAAATAGATATTTTAAAATTATTAAAAGTTTGCACAATTAGTTCAAGGTAACTGTTTTTAAACGGATGTGTAAGAGGTGCAGTGAAATTAAGTTTTCACCATTCCCCGAGCATAATTAGACTTTTAAATTTTGATTCAAAGACCGGTTTGCAAAATAAAATAAAATTGATTTTTTTAAAAAAAATAATTTTGGGTTGTAACATATTTGCACCTATTTTTATGATATGTTTATCTTAAAAGTATTTAAATTTTCTCTAAAAACATCTCGTTATGTGTTAAAGCATTTGTAAACGTGTCAAACATTTGTTCACAACATTTTAATTTATTATTCTACACAAAAATAAATTTGAAAGAGGATTTTCTTTTCTTTTTTGGGGTCATAAATAACAAAAGGGGATTCTTTTTTGTTGTCATCGAGGGACCTTATTAAAATTCAAGGAAACAGATAATTCAGTCAGATAATTATCCAACCCCTTTCCTTCATACTTTTCTAATCATGAATTGAACCTATTATAATTCAATTCAGATATTTAATATCGTGAAAATAAAATAATACATATTTTTTTTTTGTAAGCTAAAATAATACATATTTTACGAACCAAGTGTTGCGCGAGATAGTATGAAGTACTGTTATTTTATTAAGGATTAGCCCAATACGATGTCGTTTGGGATAAAGATGATATTTTTGTAATTTTAATTTATTTCAGAATTATTATAATCTTAATAATTATAATTTTTTAATTTTTCAATCTAAAAACGATATCAATTTAAAAGTAAATGTAGATAACTTATATGTAAAAACTGATAAATATTTTTCTGTTTATTGAAATACATAGATATCCGGTTGTAGAGAAAAAATATTCTCTGGCCATCTGTTCTTATTTGAATCTCAACCGTTCATTGAACCTACTCGCTACGTCTCGATTATTTCTCATCACAACAACATTCTCTAGCCGTCTTGTTCATATTTGAATCTCAACCGTTCATTATTGTACCTACTCGCTGCGTCTCCACTATTTCTCATCAGAATGACGAACTTATCCCCATAGTTTCTAGAAACTAGGTAGATAAGTTCGGTGGCAGTGTGAGTAATAGAGTAGAGAAGGATGGGGAGTTAGGTAGCAGAGTTACAATTACATTGAATACATGTAACTGCCATTCCTATATAACACAACCTCATCTTCCATTCTCTTACCTGACCCTCAAACTTAGCGTCCTATTTCTACACCCACACTCAACACGCAAACACAGAACAGAGCAAAAAACCACAGAGAACTCTATACCCAAAATCATCCAACAATGGCACCAGCAAAAACTCTCACTTACCTGTCTCAGGAGAAGACCCTCGAGTCTAGCTTCGTTAGGGACGAAGACGAGCGCCCAAAAGTTGCTTACAATCAATTCAGCAACGAAATCCCTGTAATTTCACTCGCTGGAATCGACGAGGTCGATGGCCGCAGAGCAGAGATTTGCAACAAGATCGTCGAGGCTTGTGAGGATTGGGGTATCTTCCAAGTTGTTGATCATGGTGTGGACACTAAACTCATATCTGAAATGACCCGTTTGGCCAAAGAGTTCTTCGCTTTGCCCCCAGAAGAGAAGCTTCGCTTTGACATGTCCGGTGGCAAAAAGGGTGGCTTCATAGTCTCTAGCCATCTCCAAGTAACACTTTTTCCCCTTATACACATTATTTCTAACAATTACCCATAATGGGTAAATTGAATGGTAGTTAAAATGTTGAATATGTAGAAAATGGTATTTTGTATACTCAATTCTAGTTTAAAAATATGCTTTGTGGGTTTGTGAATTTGATTTTTAATTTTTAATTTTTTTTTTTTGGGGTGTAGGGAGAAGCGGTGCAGGATTGGAGAGAGATTGTGACATATTTTTCATACCCAATTAGAAACAGAGACTATTCAAGGTGGCCTGATAAACCTGAAGGGTGGATAGCTGTGACGGAGCAATATAGTGACAAGTTAATGAGTTTGGCATGCAAGTTGTTGGAGGTGTTGTCAGAGGCAATGGGTTTAGAGAAAGAGGCTCTTACGAAAGCATGCGTTGATATGGATCAGAAGGTTGTGGTGAATTTCTACCCAAAATGCCCTCAACCAGATCTCACACTTGGACTTAAGCGACACACTGATCCTGGCACCATCACACTGCTCCTTCAAGACCAGGTCGGTGGACTTCAAGCTACAAGAGATAATGGTCAGACATGGATAACCGTTCAGCCTGTGGAGGGTGCCTTTGTCGTCAATCTTGGAGATCATGGTCACGTGAGTCACACTTCCTCACTCACATTCTTATCATTAGAGTTTTACCGTTTAAAAAATAAAATAAAAATCATCATTAAAGTGAAAATTAAACATATGATGAGTAAATAGTAAGTTTTATCATTAATTAAAATAAAAATATCAAAATATAAATAGAATAAATATAATTATGTCGCTACTTTCTCTTTGCTTTTTAGTATTAATTTTAAAATCATTGTAATGAGTAATGATACAGTTATAAGTAAGTTTCTTAATAGTGTCTTCGTTACTCTTTGTGTTAGAGATTCTGTATTAATTATCCCATTAACTTTTTTTTATTAAAGATGAATGTGAAAAATGAAATGTATGAAATTGAGTGTAAGAAGTCATGCTAAAAATGTAGTTAACGTAAAAACAAATGATAACTTTTGTACTAAATTCGTATACATTTAATAGATAAATAATAATAAAATTTTTTTATAGAATCAGCAAAAGAAATTCTTAGCAGCTAGAGATCTATATATGTTGTTTAATATTATTAAAATTTATGTATGATATCAAAATTTAATTAAAAAAACTGATAATTCATATAATTAACAAGAAATTTATTTAATTTAATAATATATATATTTTTCTTCCGAAATACTTGAAAACTTCCTTGTGTATGAATTTATTATATTCACACACTCTTTGCATATTTCATGCAAATCGCATTAAATTACACATTTACTCTGCTTTGACTTGTTTTGACAATTTAAATGATATTCATAGCTCATAAAGTATGTGGTCCCTGCTTACTTAATCTTTTCTACTTTTATTTTCATCAATTAATGTGATCAGACGAGTTTCACGGAGTAAGTAGGGTAAACCATAGTTAAAGGAAAAACAAATTAATCATTAAAAATTTCTGTAAAAATGATGATTCAATTCTTAGAAAATGATTTAGGCAATTTTTTTATTAAGAACTTTTTAGAAAGATTTGCTGAATGTTTAACTAACACTTTTGGCCTAATACTGTGTTATTTTGTACTTTTTTTATTTTCTTGATGTGTTTAATTTATGTGGGTATGATATGCAGTTTCTGAGTAATGGAAGGTTCAAAAATGCTGATCACCAAGCAGTGGTGAACTCGAACCATAGCCGTTTGTCCATAGCAACGTTCCAAAACCCAGCACCAGATGCAACAGTGTACCCTTTGAAGGTTAGAGAGGGAGAGAAACCTGTGATGGAGGAACCAATCACTTTTGCAGAAATGTATAGGAGAAAAATGAGCAAGGACCTTGAGCTTGCTAGGATTAAGAAGTTGGCCAAGGAAAAGCAATTGCAGGATTTGGAGAAAGCAAAAATTGAGGCCAAGCCTTTGGATCAGATTTTTGCTTAGACTTCTCAGAGTTTATTGCCCCCTCAACTTTGTGTTTTTTGCATTTTCTTCAAAATGGCCATTATTATAAATCTTTAGCTTTTGTGCTTGTCTTTTCGTTGAATTATGGGAACTATGTCCTATGTGAAGAGGTATTGTTCATTTGCCAGTTTCTCAGGATCCAGCGAGGTCTCTGTAAACCATATAATCACTACTTATAAATAAATGAAAATAAGTTGCATCCCTTATTGCCTGCATGGCCATCACATTCAAATGTGCAGTTGAATTTTAAAATACTAATTGATATATTTTCTCCTATATTTTATGATATGCTTATGTTAAAAGTATTTAAACTCGCATTTTAGTATTTTTTTAGATATGTTATATTTACAATTTTTTTTTACAAATTCTTATAAATTATAATATGGATTTACGAGAGTATATTTCCAAGTGAGTGTACTCCTCGGAGTACATAGTATAGTTTGTAAGAGTTTGTAAATATAACTTTTTTTTTTTTATATTGGGTTGAAATTATTGAGTTTGATATAAAATCAATATAAATTTGGAGCACATATTATAAATCAATTATTTTGTAAAGGTAAGTAAATGTAATGTATTTTATCATTTTTATATATTTTTTGTTTTTTATTTTCTGAATTATCCCTTACGAAATTAAAAAATTAAAGTAAGAGAAAAAAGAAAAGAAATCACATCGTCCATCAATTAGGATCTTTTATTTAAAGAAAATGATGGACCACCAAATTGTGTTAGTTGGGCAAAAGCACCCATCTAAGAACATTTATGCAAAGATACACTTAGTTAAATCACTTTCCAAATGTTTAACCAAAGTATGGCGGTCAATGCACCGGAAGACTTGACGTGATTAATCCCGTCACCAAGTTTGTCGTAACCGCCCTCCATGTCAGCCACGCACTTGAATGCCGTCACTTGGCGAGACGGCACAAGTGCAGCAAACTACATCTTGTTTGTTCCATTGCATATGCAATTTTCGTTCGCTCTCTAAAGCATTTTTCTCTCCTTCTCTCTAAAGTCTCTCATCTAAATCGGTTGCCGCTTTCCTCTCTGCTACCTGAACTCTCTTCGCTGCATGTTCTGTGAGATTTCCCTGCCAACCGAAAAAGGTATGTTGTGTTCATTTTTTTTTAACTTTTTGTTATTTTGTTTTGTATATATTCTTTATAAAATTTTAGGATATATATTTAATTAGTGAAATAAATAAATAAAAATTATAATTAGTGAAATAAATAAATAAAAATTATAATTAGTGAAATAATTAAATAATAATTATAATTAATTTTTAATTAATTAATAATTGAAATTTGTAAAAGCTTAGGTTAGAAACCTAATTAGTGAATTAATATGTGAATTAATCACTAATTAGGTTTTATAATTGACATAAAAATATTAATATACAAATATATTTAATAATTAGACATCTAGCTTAAGGTTTTATAATTAACATATAAAATAATTTACAACAATTAATGATTAATTTACTAATTAATTAACTAATTAGGTTTCTATTGTAAGGTTTTACAAATTTAAATTATTAATTAATTAATCACTAATTATAATGATTATTTAATTATTTCACTAATTAGGTTTTATAATTGACATAAAAATATTAATATACAAATATATTTAATAATTAGACATCTATCCTAAGGTTTGTGTAGTTCATCTAAGGTGAACTCTTTTGTGTTCTAAATTACATGGATACATTTTCGTTGCCATTATTCATTATATATTTGTTAGTTAGTTCCGTGTACTTTCCTCCTGACAACCGCCAAATTATTCATCATTTTTCTGTTGTTCTTTTTCCTAAACCGTCGCCGCAAATTAACATGACACTTTTTGATGTACTTTGTCCTCACTTACATATTTTTTGAAAAAACTTCACAGGAGGTCACTCATCCTAAAATTTCAAGTTAAGCAAGCTTAACTATGGAGTTCTTCTATTCTGTGTTACCAAAAACTAGATGCATCTTGTTAGTCTAGGTAATACAATTAATTCTTATAATTTATCCCCAGCTGTAGATTCCTATACATACATATACAGTCTTTGGAATCCCTCTCTTTTGGGTGTGTATTTGATTCATTCATTTACCCCTCCGCTGGAAGCCTGCAAGAAGTCGCTCATTGTGCGTGCCTCTTTGCACCGGTGATCACACTCCCTGCCCTCGTCTGCCACTGGGATGTTACATGTCCACTAGCTTTCGTCTGATTCGTCCTTGAACCACACCATACCAGAAGAGAGGCCCTGCTCTGATACTACTTGTAACGCCCGACCGCTTTAAGAATCAATGATTGTCCCCACAAACTTACACGAGACTTTTCGGCGTGCTTTGTCCTCATTCACACACTTTATGGGAAAACTTCTCAGAAGGTCACACATCCCAGAATTGCTCCAAGTTAAGCATGCTTAACTATAGAGTTCTTCTATTATGCGCTATCAAAAAGTAGATGCATCTTGTTAGTCTAGGTAATACCAATTAATTCTTATAAGTTATCCCTAGTTGTAGAGTCCTATACATGTATAGTCTTTGGAATCCCTCTCTTTTGGGTGTGTATTTGATTCATTCATGTACCCCTTCCCTGGAAGCCTGCCAAGAGCCACTCCTTGTTCGTGCCTCTTTGCACCAGCGATCACTCCCTGCCCTCGTCAACCACCGGTATGTTACATTTTCCATGGCTCGTGGTGGTCAATCTAATCCAAACAACCAGAATCAAAATAGAGGTCCTCCTTCTTTTTCCGATGCTAGCTCTTCCCTTTCCATGGAAGATTCTGCTAGTCCACACTATCTTCTCAGTGGTGACCATCCTGGTCTCATCCTTGTCACCCATGTTCTGGTTGACCCCAACTTTCATTCCTTGAATAGGGCTATGCTCATTGCTCTTACAACAAAAAATAAACTATGTTTTGTGGATGGCACTCTTCTTCGCCCTGCTTCTATTGATCTCTTATTTGGTGCTTGGAATAGATGCAATTCCTTGTTGATATCTTGGCTACTCAATTCTGTCTCAAAAGATATTGCTGATAGTTTGAAGTACTTCTCCAATGCTTATGAAATTTGGTCAAATTTGAAGGACCAATTTCTCCAGGCAAACGGATCTCGCATCTATCAACTGAAACAACAAATTACCTCCTTCAATCAGGACTCTCTTGATGTCAATGGTTACTACGCCAAACTCAAAACCTTATGGGATGAACTTCATGATTATCGCCTATCTTTCCCTTGCATTTGTGGTGGCTTGCATTCTTTGTCTGACTGGCAACAATAAGATTAGGTTATACAGTTTCTCATGGGGCTGAATGACTCTTTTTCTGCTGTTCGAGCACAGATTCTTCTGCTTGTACCTCTTCCCTCTTTGGCCCGGGTTTTCTCATTGATTTTGCAATAAGAACGTCAACGTCAAATTACCAATTATGTGCCTAATTTCTTAGAGACCCCTCTATTGAATTCCATAATTGCTTCATTTTCCTCAACTCAGGCATTGGTCTCTGTCGCTGTCTCCTCCACATCGTGCCGTCAACGTCCTTACTGCAGCAATTGTTAGGCCACCGGACATATAAAGGACCGATGTTTCAAGCTTGACAGGTACCCACCTAATAAACCCTTGGTTTACCATGGTTTTAGGTTTAATTATACTTGAAATATATCATGAATTGCATGGAAATTAGGGTTTTATACCGTAAAGTCACAATAACTGAATATCTTGCTAACATGTAGTCATAATTCTTATTTCAAGGGATTCTTGACGTTCATTATGGCTTTTTGGAGCCAAAGGGATACAACAAGACGAGTTCAAGCCTCAAAGAAGCAAGATTCCAAGCATGTGCAAGCTGTAGGAGGACGTTTTGGCATCCAAGAAGAACATTTAAACACTCTAAATGAAGAAAACAACAATAACTCTCTGGACTAGAGCGTTTTGACGGCCAAACAGAGCGCCAAAACGCTCCAGCAGTAACAAGTCACCCTTCGAAGAGAACGTTTTGGCGCCCAACAGCGCGCTAAAACGCCCAGAGGCATACAGGAATGCACTAAGAGAACATTTTAGCACACAAATAGCACGCTAAAACGTCCATGTACGAACCCATCAGCCCCAGATTCAACTGAAGATTTGCCAATGGATACAGATCGCGATATCTGGGATTAAAGCGAAAACATATCAATATTGATAGATAGAAATCCATGGGAAGATGTGAAGAAAGATTACAACAAGATTCAAAGTCAAAAATCTGTCACCAATCTACAAGATCTTAAACGCAAAAAGGAAACAATTATAAAATCAATTACAAATCTGATACGGATACGGTGGGAGATGCAATGAAGGATGTGGATTTGAAGATTATAAATAGGGAGCTGAGGGTCAGACCAAAGGGAACCAATTCACAAGTCCAGAGAAATACACAAGGACCTGAAGGAGGAATCCTGTTGCAGAGCGCTGGAACACTGAGGAACCAAGTCAACATCACACCAATGGAGGCTTGGGGTTCTCTTTTCTTTACTATTGTTTTTGAATTCAGTATGCTAGGCTAGACTTTTATGTAGTTAAGGGTAGATGGAACCCAATTGAATCTTTATGTTTATGAATTAAATTGTCTCTGAATTCTTTTCTTTTTATAATTGAATAAATTTATCTATCTTTAATGCTTTCTATGAGTTTGCTCCTTATAGAATGATTTTGGGGAATTGCATGACAATATGGATGTTGGTGCATGAACCTGACTTGGTAAATTTATCATAATCCTTGTGATCTTGGGATAGACATAGGGTAATTGTGCAATCTTGGAATTCTTGATCTTAATGCATGTTTTCTTGGGGAATAACCGAGGAACTAGGGTTCTTCTGAGATCATATAGATTTAGGGTAACAAGGAATTGAGCCCTAATTAACTTAGATAGAATTGATTGGCAATATATTAAGAAAAGGCTCTTGACTCTTTAATTCATAACATCTTGAGGAGATTAGGAGAAGTCGAAACCCTAACTACGCTTGTTTTAAATTCTTAACCAATCATCATCTTTTCAATTGTCTTTTTAATTCTGAAATTTCTTTAATTGCATCTCATTGCTTGTTCTTAATTTTAAGTTCTTCAGTCACAAATTCTCTCAAATCCAATTCTTGATTATCCAACTAAAACCCGGTTAGCGAACTAGTGCTTGAAAATCCGATCCTCGTGGGAACGATCTTGTACTCTGGTACACTTTTATTACTTAACGACCGGTGCACTTGTCGAGTCACTATCAAGTTTTTGGCGCCGTTGCCGGGGATTGGATCCTTCAACATTAGAAGTAACTAATTACCTTTTAGATTGGACGTTTTAACTTTTAATTTTCTGCACTTTGAACATTCTTCAAAAATATTTTCTGCATATTTTAATTTTCTGCATTCTTTGTTTACTTTTTATTTTTCTGTTTTCTGTTTTGCATTTTTTATTTTTTCTGCACATCTCTTCAATCTTAGTTTATGCGAGGTACTCTTAACCCTCGAATCTTGCAGTTTGATCCTGAGATAGAAAAGACAGAAAGGAAACTTAGGAAGGACGCAAAAGCAAAGAAAGCAAAGGAAGCAAAAGAAACCTCAAGTTCAACATAACCAAAGGAGGAGACGATGGCTGAAAACAACGCAATTCAGAATCCTCCAAGGACCTTGGGAGATTATATGACTCCATCCAGAGTTCCACAGACGGAGAGCATTGTTAGACCAACCGTGGATGCTAACAACTTCAAGCTTAAGCCAGCACTGCTGCAATTAATCCAAAAAGATCAGTTCGCTGGAGGAAGCACTGAGGACTCCTACAGTCATCTTGATGATTTTCTTCTTTACTGTGACACATTAAAGATGAACGGAGTCTCTCGCGACGCAATCCTGCTCAGACTATTTCCATGTTCACTGAAGAATGACGCAAGAGCTTGGTTGCAGTCTCAACCCGAAGGAAGCATAACCAGTTGGGATGACCTAGCACGAAAATTCTTGGCCAGATTTTTCTTAGCCTCGAAAATGGCAAGGCTCAAATTAGAAATCACTGCTTTTGAACAAAAAGAAATTGAATCTCTGTACGAGGCTTGGGAACGATTTAAAGGATTACTCAAGAAGTGTCCTCAACATGGAATTGAAGCATGGGAGAAAGCAAGAATCGTTTTCCAAGGGATGACGCCCAACATAAGAACACTGGTAAATGCTGCTGCAGGAGGCTCCTTGAAAACAAAAACTCCAGAGGAAGCGCTAGAATTGTTGGAATCCTTAGCTTCTCAAGAATTTGACAATGCCCCAGTCACACAAAGAATAACAGGAATTATGAAGCTTGACGGCTATGATGCAATCTTGGCTCAGAATGAACAAGTACTGCAAATGAATAAGAAACAACAAGAACAATTAGATGCTCTTACAAAGCAATTTAATATATCTCAAATTTCTTCTATTAGTAATTCTCAAGTTAAATGTGGTATTTGTGCAGAGGCTTATGCAACTGACGACTGTTACTACATGAGAACAACTGAAAAGCCACCAGCAGAGGCCAATGGAATCTGGTACGATCAAAAGAATCAGAATAATCCAGGAAGAAACCAATATGGTAATCAAGGGTGGAAAATTTCTAACCAACACCCTGTGTTTAGTTACAAATCAACCCATCAGTTGAACCCTCATATGCCATTGCAACAACAACCTCCACCTCAAGGCACCACTTCAAAATGGGAAAAAGCTTTTACGCAGCTGTCCAAGACCACATCAGACTACATTCAGAATGCAGATGCCTTCAGAGATGAAACAAGAGCCTCATTCCGGAATCAAGAAGCTTCTATCCGGAATCTAGAAACTCAGATTGGCCAGCTGTCAAAACAATTTGCTTAAAGAACTCATGACACCTTCCCAAGTAACACCAACACGAACCCAAATGTACAATGTAATTCAATCATTACCAGAAGCAGGATCGTGATCCAACCTGTGATAAAGCCGCAAGTTGAAAAGAAGAAAGACGTTGAACCTGAAGCCGAAAAAGAAAAAGAAGAAGATGTAGGAGAAGCTGAAAAGAGCAGTTCAGAAAAGAAGCTGTTCAAATGGGAGAAAAAGAAAGCTCTGGATAGGAAATCAAAGCTGACAAATCCATCTCCCTATGCACGAGTTCCATACCCTCAGCGGTTGAAACAAGAGATCCAGAAACAACAATACACCAAATTTCTGGATATATTCAAGAAGCTGCAAGTGAACATTCCTTTCACAGAAGCCCTGGAAAGCATGCCCAATTACGCAAAATTCATGAAAGACCTTTTGTCAAAGAAGCACAAGTTGAAGGAGTGAGAAACAGTGGCCCTAACTGAGGAATGCAGTGCAATCATCCAGAAGAAACTCCCTCCCAAACTGAAAGATCCAGGCAGCTTCAGTATTCCTATAGCTATAGGAAATATTGAAGTAGGAAAAACATTATATGATCTGGGAGCAAGTATAAACCTGATACCGTTGTCCATGTGCAGAGCTCTTGGAATTAAGGAGCTGAAGCCAACTACGGTTTCTCTCCAGTTAGCTGACAGATCGATCAGACGACTAGATGGGGTAATTGAGGATGTTTTAGTTAAAATTGACAAATTTATCTTCCCTGCAGATTTTGTAATTTTGAATATGGAAGAAGATGCTGAGATTCCCTTACTACTTGGGAGGCCATTCCTAGCCACCGTAAGAGCAATGATCGATGTGGAGCAAGGGAAACCGATGCTGAGGACGAACGAAGAAACAGTCACCATTGATGTCTTCGAATCAATGAAACATCCATCAGACGGAGGAGACTATTTTATGATTGACAAAATACAAGAAGCAGTTGATGACACTATGAAAGAGGAGAGTTCCCCACTCGAGTTAGAACAAATCAATGAAGAAGCTGACATAGCTGATAAAGAACCAGTGGTGGAAGAACTTGAAAGAAAGAAAGATGACATCCCTCTTGGAGCACCGAAGGTAGAGCTTAAGGAGTTACCTCCAAACTAAAGTATGCTTTCCTTGGTGACAACAACACATATCCAGTCATCATCAATGTTGAGCTATCAACAAAAGAAAAAGAAAAACTTCTCAAGGTGTTGAAGAAACAGAAAGCTGCCATAAGATGGTCCTTCTCCGACCTAAAAGGTATAAATCCTTCCTTTTGTGCTCATAAAATTCTAATGGAGGATGATATTAAACCTGTAAGGCAGTCGCAAGGGAGACTCAATCCAACCAAGAAAGAGGTGGTAAGGAAATAGGTAGTTAAACTGTTAGATGCAGTGATGATTTACCCTATATTCGACAGTGCATGGGTAAGTCCTATACAAACGGTACCCAAGAAAGGTGGAGTCACTGTGGTAAGAAATGAGAACAACGAGTTGATTCCAACAAGGACAGTCACCGGGTGGAGAGTGTATGTTGATTATAGAAGACTTAATGCAGCCACTCGCAAGGACCACTTCCCTATTCCTTTCTTGGACCAGATGTTGGAGAGACTAGCTGGCCATGCCTTCTACTGCTTCCTGGATGGGTACTCAGGCTACAACCAAATAGCAGTAGCTCCAGAAGATCAAGAGAAGACAACATATACATGCCCTTACGGAGTCTTTGCTTACCGGAGGATGCCTTTCGGCTTGTGCAACGCTCCTGCAACTTTTCAAAGGTGCATGTTTTCCATCTTTTCTGATATGATTGAGAAATTCATTGAGATCTTTATGGATGATTTTTCTATTTTTGGTCCCTCTTTTTACACTTGCTTAGAAAATTTATCTTGTGTTTTACAAAGGTGTCAAGAGAGTAATCTTGTTTTAAATTGGGAAAAATGTCACTTCATGGTAAAAGATGGCATAGTTTTAGGACACAAGGTGTCCAAAGATGGTATAGAAGTTGATAGAGCTAAGATATCTGTTATTGAGAAACTTCCCCCTCCCTCTAATGTTAAAGGTATTCGAAGTTTTCTCGGTCATACAGGTTTTTACAGACGCTTTATCAAGGACTTTTCCAAGATAGCAAAGCCACTATGCAAGCTGTTGGTCTAGGATAAGGAATTCAACTTCACAGATGAATGTTTGTTAGCATTTAATATTTTAAAAGATCGATTGACCACTGCACCTATAATCACTGCACCTGATTTCACAATACCTTTTGAATTAATGTGTGATGCTAGTGATTATGCTATAGGAGCTGGCTTAGGACAAAGAAAGAATAAATTGTTGCATGTGATATCTTCCTTCACAGAGGTCCTATAGCAATGTGCCTTATATCATTTTTAATCTTGGGATGTTAGCTGTGTGGTGTCAAAATTTGGTACCATTTGAAGATGTATAGCATTCTGTAGGTTTGCTTGAGTGGAGACTGCCCTGGGAGGCCATGTGCAGGGACTGTACATGGATACATCTTCCACGAATTGTTTCTCCTTCATTTCTTACTCAAATTATGCTCATTATATGTCGAATTAAAGATTAAGGTGTCTAGTTGTCTACTTAAAAAATTGAGAGAAATTGGTTTAGTAGATTTTCCAGAATCGCAGAAATGGTAAGGGATGTTTAGGGCTCTGTTCGGAGTTGGTAGGCAGCTTTGCTTGTCCAACTTCAAATGGTGACAACCGGAGCTAGAAAACTCCAAATGAGGCATGTGATACCTTGTTAAAAAGGTAATTAAGTTTAGATTAAAATACTAAAAGATGAGAATTTTATAACAAGTGTATTGCGCATAGTGACTAGAAAATAGAAGCATGTACAGTTATAAAAAACCGTAAAAGTGATATTTAGGCTAAGTGGGCTTATGGAAATCCCTTAGTAACTTATAATAAGTATATATATGGGATGGATGAGTGAAAATAATCTAAGTTATCTTAGTGATCCTAGAGTGTGATTCTAAGATTATGCAAGGTGCTTAAACTACGTGGTTGATTGTGTAATAAGTGAACACTTCATAATACACTAAAATACGTAATTATGTAATAATTAGTCTAGACTTGTAATGGGCATATTATTGGCATGTAAGAATGAAATGTGGAATCATTAAGTGATTGAGTATTAATGATATAAATGATTCCTGCTCTAGGTTTTCCTAGAGGATTTGGCACTTGAGGGTTTATTGGAGCATACGTATTTTACTATTGGAGTTGAGCTTGTGATAAGCTCAGTGAGGTAAGCTCCTAGTTTTGGTTGCTCCTCTCTCTTGTGGCCCCACCATGATGGTGGGCATTATTGTTGTATGGTATGAAAGAATATGGTATAATGTATATGTGCATTCATTCACATTCATATAGATGTTATATGATTCTTGATGTTAAGATGATGCACTGATGATATATGTTATGAGGATCATGGGCAGCGATTATGGTATGTAGGCTGCCTATGACTTGACTCTGGGAGCTATTTCATACAGAGGTTGTGTTGACTGTCTATGGCTTGATCCTGTAGTCACACATGTGTAACCGTCTATGGCTTTGACCCTGGGGTTATACAAGGATGATATGATGATGTTATGTTTATGTTGTACACCTGTATTATATGCTATATATCTGACTTGTCATGCAGGAAGTAGGCTTAGGGGATTAGAAGATCCTCTATGAACCTTGAGCTTACTGAGATATGTTATCTCACCCCATTTGGGGACATCATTTCAGGTACCCAAAGTAGTGGTGATGCTTCTAGGGGCAAGGCCCCCGCCTTGGAGTAGTGGATGACGCTGGTGATTTATCTTTATTATGTTTAGACTCTATGATGGCATGTATATTTATTAACATGTTTAATTATCTTATGTTGAGATTATATGATGTATTTATTTGGGCTCATGATTGTATGATTGGAGCCATGGATTATTTATTGATGCTTAGACGTTTCAAAATTTATGTAGACTTGATGTATGCATTCAGTTAATTGGGCATTGAGCTATATTGTTTTTATTGACCGATTGAGGGGATTGCAGACTGTGTGGGACTTGTAAGTTGTCTGTTTAATTATTGTATCTATCAGGTTGTTTATGTGTGGGACCTATGTCCTCAGTTATCCGAAATACAACTGTTATGTTGTCTGTGAGACTCCGTCAGGAATGACACTTGAGGTCATATCCGGGTGGTCAACGGCCACTAGTGATGGCCAAGGGTTTTAATTAGTAGACTTAGATGTTAAGGTTACGCTAATACAATATATTAGATGAATGTTTTGAAAATGTTTTAGAAAATATTTTGGAAAAGGTTTTCTCGTATTTTTATAAGACGCTTTACTATTTTTTAAAATAAAGTCTTCCGCTGTATACTCTAAATATCATGTATGCTAACAATCGGAGTATACGGGGTGTTACAAGCTGCACCTGAGGTTAACTACCAACCTTTATGCATTCGTTATCCTGAAATTAATATTGCTTTTGAACTTAAGTCTGCTCTAATACATTTGCTTCCCAAGTTTCATAGCCTTGAACGTGAGGACCCTCAAGCAGTTAAAGGAGTTTCATGCGGTCTGCAGCACCATAAAGCCGCAAGGAGTTGATGAGGAGCAGGTCAAGCTGAGAGCCTTTTCTTTTTCCCTCGACGGAGGAGCTAAGGATTGGTTGTACTACCTTCAACCTTCGTCTATTGAGACTTAGAATGACATGGCCAGATTGTTTTTGGAGAAGTTTTTCCCTTCCTCTCGAGCCATTTCAATCAGAAAGGAGATAAGTAGCATAAGACAAGCAAATGGGGAGAACTTACATGAGTACTGGGAGCGGTTTAAAAGACTTTGTACAAGCTGTCCACGTCACCAGATTCCAGAGCAATTGCTGATTGTCTGCTTCTATGAAGGCTTGTTGCCTATGGACAGAAACCTTTTGGAAGTAGCCAATAGTGGAGTCCTAGTCAATAAAACACCTGTTGCGGCAAAAGAGTTGATTGTAGAGATGGCAGCCAATGCTCAACAATTTGACACTAGAGCGAACAACAGTGCAGTGTTCTAAGTGCAAGCATCTCCTGTCCGAAATTCGATAGTAGCAGTAGTGACGTCGAGCACAGAATATCAAAGAATAGAGAATAGGCTTGACGAGCTGACTTCACTGGTGAGACAGTTGGCAGTAACACAAACAATTCAACCTCCCACACGACAAGCAAGCAACCTATGCAGTATTTGTTGCAACCTACTGCACCCCACTGATGCCTGCCCCAGTCTACAAGAAGGTACCCCTCAAGTAGACCAGACAGTTGTTGTAGCAAGAGTCTTTACTGGTAAACCACAATACCAGCAGCAACAACAGTATAACCCATTCTCTAACAGCTATAACCCTGGATGGAATGATCATCCCAACTTAAAGTGGAACCAAAATCAGAATCAGAAGAAGTACCAACAGAGGCAACAGTTCGTACCTCAGCAATAGAGGCATAATTTCCAACCTACTACACCTTCACAACAGCCATTAGCGCCGCAATAGCCCAGTAGTGGTCCTTCTCTGGAAGATTTGGTTAAACAACTTGCCACTAGTAATCTCAATTCCAGCAGCAGACTGAGTCATCAATTCAGAACTTACAGACTCAAATCGGGCAATCAGCTACTTCTGTGAGTCAGACCCAACCTCAAGGGCCCAGTTCTCTTCCTTCCCAGACAGTTCCAAATCCGAAGGGGAATGTCAGTGCTATATCCCTAAGGTCTGGCAAGCAACTGGAAGATCCCAAGCAAGCTACAAATAAGGTTGGACCGTCATCGGATTAGTCTAAGAATAAGGAGACCTCGAAACAAGGTGAAGATAAGTTTGAACCTGCCATTCCTCTACCTTTCCTTCAGAGAGTCGCTCAGTCCAAAAAATTGGCAGAAAAAGCACAAGAGAAGGAGATTCTTGATACATTCAGAAAAGTTCAATTGAACATTCCACTCTTGGATGCAATCAACAAGAGTGAGCGAGTGAGCGTGAGTCACAATGTCTCAGCCCTCATCCAACCCATGCCAAAGAAGTGCCAAAATCCAGGGACATTTACTATTCCTTACATTATTGGAAATTGTAAATTTGATGATTGCATGTTAGATTTAGGTGCTGCTATTAATGTCATGCCTGAGAGTCTGTTTATAAATCTCTTGGTCTTGGTCCCTTGTATGTTGCGGGTATTGTTGTCCAGTTAGCCAATAAGTGTAGTGTTCACCCTTCTGGGGTGATTGAAGATGTGTTAGTTAGGGTGAATAGTCTGATTTTCCCTGCTGATTTCTATATTTTAGGGATGGAGGGTGAGACTCCTAGTAGTACAATCATAATTGGGCGACCTTTCATGAAAACTGCTAGGACCAAAATACTATGTTTGGTGATAGTATTGTCAATTCTAATATTTTTTTGATGCTATGAAATATCCTAGGGAAGAGCATTCTATTTTCTGCATTGATGTTATTGATGAGGTTGTTGATGATGTTTCTGCTAGGTTAATTGTTGGTTATACAGATTTTTCATCTTACCATGACATTGTTGTTTGTGGCTGTGCTGATAGAGAATGGTGCATTGTTTGCACCAAATTTTCAAGTTTTTCCAGTTTCAGTGATGCATTGATTCAAGATTCTGATACTAATTTTGTTGATGCTTCTGATTTGATTGAGGATCCTGCTTTTCCTGTTGATATTTCTTCAGTTAACAATTTTTTTGTTGAGAATTTCGTTTCAGGCATGGCTGATGTGCATACTACTGAACTGGTACAACCCACCAGACTTTTCCTATCCACCAAGCAGCCCCCCTAAGCTAGAACTAAAGGTTCTACCAGATCACTTGAAGTATGCCTACCTAGAGGAGAATGAGCAGCTGCCAGTCATTATAGCCAAAAACTTTCTTCCTGATCAAGAAGAGAAGCTGCTAAGCTTGTTGAAAGAAAATAAGAAGGCGATTGGTTGGACTTTAGCTGATCTTGTTGGTATCATCCCTTCTATGTGCATGTGTCGAATATCATTGGAAGAAGGCGTTAAGCCAGTGCGACAACCCCAGAGGCATTTGAACCCCCTCATTCTAGATGTGGTGAAGAAAGAAGTGACTAAGATGTTACAAGCTGGCATCATTTACCCCATTTCTGACAGCCAATGGGTCAGCCCAGTTCAGGTGGTTCCTAAGAAGTCTGGTGTAACTGTTGCAGCTAACCAGAAAAATGAGTTAATCCCCACAAGAGCTCAGAATAGTTGGACAGTTTTCATAGACTACCAGAAGCTTAACCAAGCCACCCGCAAGGATCACTACCCTTTACCTTTATTGATCAGATGCTGGAGCGGTTGGTTGGCAAGTCTCACTACTGCTTCTTGGATGGATACTCTGGCTACTTCCAAATCCATATTGCACCTGAAGATCAAGAAAAGACCATCTTCACATGCCCCTTCGAAACATTTGCCTACAGACGGATGCCTTTCGGGCTCTGCAATGCGCCTGGTACTTTTCAGCGGTGTATGATAAGCATCTTTTCTGAATATTTAGAGGATTGCATGGAAGTATTTATGGATGATTTTACTATTTATGGATCTTGTTATGATGTATGCTTGGGTAGTTTAGCCAAGATTTTGAGTAGATGCATCGAGATTAACCTTGTTTTAAATTTTGAAAAGTGTCATTTTATGGTTGAATCAGGGATAGTTTTGGGACACATAGTGTCTAGAAAGGGTATAAAGGTAGATCCTGCTAAAATAGATGTTATTACTACTTTACCTTAGCCCACATCTATGCGGGAAGTTCGTTCTTTTCTTGGTCATGCAGGATTCTATCGGCGTTTCATTCAAGGTTTCAGCAGATTGCCCTGCCCCTGTCTAACCTTCTGCAAAAAGACACAGATTTTGAGTTTGGTGATAAGTGCAAGTCGGCTTTTGATCAGTTGAAGCGATGCCTAACCATTACTCCAGTGATCCAACCGCCAGATTGGTCTCTTCCATTTGAGCTGATGTGTGATGCCTCTAACTTTTCTATTGGTGTTGTTCTTGCTCAGCGGATTGATAGAGCCCCGCATGTTATTGCTCATGCGTCAAAAACCTTGGATTCTGCCCAGTCTAATTACACTACCACTGAAAAAGAACTTTTGGCTATCGTTTTTGCACTTCATAAGTTTAGATCATATTTGCTTGATACTAAGGTAATTGTCTTTTATGACTATGCAGCCTTGAAGTTTCTTTTGAAAAAGGCAGATGCTAAGCCTAGGCTTATTCGGTGGATGTTACTGCTCTAAGAATTTGACATTGAGATAAAAGATAGGAGAGGAGCAGAGAACTTGGTAGCTGATCACTTGAGCTGTGTCACTCACATTCTATCAGACCCTTCCTCCATTCGGGATGACTTTCCTGATGAGAAGCTTTTACAGCTGTAAGTTACGCTTCCCTGGTACGCCGATTTAGTAAATTACTTGGTTCGTAATGTTTTTCCTGCCGATTCCACTAAGGCTCACATTCTGAAATTAAAAAGTGAGTCTAAACACTATGTATGAGATGATCCTTATTTGTGGAGATTTTGTAGTAACCAAGTAATTAGGAAATGTGTACCTGATAATGAGTTTCAATCTGTTTTGCACTTTTGTCATGCTTTTGCTTGTGGTGGTCACTTTGGACCGCAAAGAACTGCTAGGAAAGTGTTAGACTCTGGTTTATTTTGGCCTTCCTTATTCCATGATGCATATCTATTTTGTAAGTCATGTAATAACTGTCAGAGGGCAGGGAGTATTTTTCGTAGGCATGAGATGCCCTAGCAACCTATACTCTTATGTGAGTTTTTTTATGTTTGGGGTATTGACTTTATGGGTCCATTTCTTGTTTCTTATGGTTTTACTTATATCTTGCTAGTTGTTGATTATGTATCCAAATGAGTTGAAGCGAAAGCTACCGGGACTGATGACTCTGCTGTGGTTGTAGATTTTGTCAAATCTAACATTTTCTGCAGGTTTGGCATCCCTAGAGCTATCATCAGTGACCAAGGCTCTCACTTTTGTAACCGAAGCATGGATGCTTCGCTACGGAAGTACAGAGTGACTCACAAGGTTGCCACTGCTTACCACCCACACACCAATGGTCAAGCTGAATTCTCCAACAGAGAGATCAAGCAAATCCTCCAGAAGACTGTTAATTCTAACCGGAAGGATTGAAGCAAGACATTGGATAACGGTTTATGGACGTATCAGACTGCCTATAAGACTCCGATTGGGATGTCTCCTTATCGGCTTGTCTTTGGTAAAGCATGTCACCTGCTAGTTGAGTTGGAGCATCAGGCTTATTGGGCTATTAAGTAGTGCAACATGGATTTGATTCAGTCAGGGGTAGAGAAAAAACTGTAACTACAAGAGTTAGATGAGCTTCGACTGGATGCCTACGAGTGTTCGCGCTTATATAAGGAGAAAACAAAGGCATTCCATTATAAGCAGATTCTGCGAAAGGAGTTTGTTGTGGGCTAGAAAGTCCTCCTATTTAATTCCTGTCTAAAATTTATGCCTAGTAAACTTAGATCTAGATGGGATGGTCCTTTTCAGATTACTAATATTTTTCCTTATGGTGCAGTTGAGCTATGTGATAAACAGACTGGGAAGACCATCACTGTGAATGGACACTGCCTCAAGCTTTTTCATGAGGGACCCCAGCAATAGCCTTTGGAGGCAGAGCTCAGGCTCACTAATGCCACTTATCCTCCGTAAGGAGGACAGGGAGTCTTTCTTTGCCTTTGCCTTTTCTTTATTTTAGTTTATTTTGTTTTGTCTGCAATTTTAATTTTAGTTTTAATTTTCAATTAGTAGATTTTCCTTTTCTTCCTTATAATTGTTGATTTATACATAGTGTGAACTTGGGTATGTTGTTCTTGATGAATCATTCTAATTGAGCAGAGTTCTTTATTGTTAGAATACTTGGCTTGGTAGTTGAATTCATGATGCTAATTGCATGAATTGGTATTGTCCTTGTGAGAGTTTGAGTCTTTATGAATGAAATTTATCTTTTTCTCATTCTTTCTTTCATGTGTGTTTTCCCTCATGATTTTTGTTCTCTAGAACTTGCTCCTTTTCTTTTTTAAACTATATTTTTTCACTTGCATGCATAAATAAGATAGAGGCCTTCTTTCTTTTATTTCCCCACTTTGGCCAGATAGCCACCCCTTGCATTATATTCCCTTTGGTTAGCCCATTTGTGCCTTTTTTTCTCATTCTTTTCTTAGCCACATTACAAGTCTAAGTGTAAAACCAAGTAATCCCTCACCTTGGAAATTTATTGAGCATTGGTTTCATCTTAGTTTTGTGTTTAAGTATGGGGGTTGCCCGATGTGTGCAACATTTTAAATGTGGGGGGAGGTATGCCATTCATCACTTGGCATTGCATTTGTTGGTCATTGGATTGTGATAAAGAGAAATAAAAAGAAAAAGAGCGCGGGAAAAAAATGATAGAAAAGTAGCACTGAAAAAAAATAGAAAAGAAAAGAAAGGAAAAGCAATAAAAAATTAGAAAGGAAAAAGAAAAACAAAAAGAGAAATGACTGGTTAGTCTTTATCTTTGTCTTATTTTTTTTATTCTAGTTCTTATTTTGTTTCTTTAGTTTGGTTTTAACCAATGCTCTTTAAATTTTCTTGGGTGCTTAATCTCTTATTTCCATATTTTTTCATACCTTCATCCGAGCCCCAATACAACCTTGTGAAAAATCCTCTTGATTTTTGCATGCATGTGTTTTGAGTAGTGGAGAAGTAGAAATTGAGCAAGCCTATGGTAGGGAAATTTTCTTGAGTGGAATTTGAGTGATACAGTAATTTACCCTATACACTTGAGAGATTGATTCAGAGCATCCCATGAGAGACTATCTTGTCTGATTAACATTATTGAATGAGATTACTATATTTTCTAATTTAAGATGAAGGAATGTCTATCTTAATTGGTTGATCTTTTGAAACTTTATTATCCTTGTTCAGATTATTGTATTATTAGCAATTGTTATAAAACATTGGTTATCTTTTAGTCTTTTGCTTTGTTTTGTCATTCCTTTAGTTTTTGTTTCAAGTTTTAATTTTGCTCATAAGTGCAAAAGGATAAGTGTGGGGAATTTGATAATTAATATTTATTAAACTTATTTGTTAATCTTGATTAGTGATTTTTGATTGTTTAGTGTGTAAATAATGGTCTTTGGGTTAAATTAGATGTTGGGTTTTTAATTGGGCTTATTTTGAAATTCGTAATAAAAATCTAGATTTACGTTACTACAGTATTTTGACCATAACTCATTCCACAAGTGTCCGATTGACCCTATTCTTGTTGCGTTTTGCAGCTAACTCAGAGGGCTACAAATGTTATGCGACATGTAATCTCAGTTAGAACAATAGGATGGTCGAAAATCAAGCCCAAGTTTATCACGAGTTGCTGTAGTTTTAATTAGTTTAATTGGATTTAAGTTTGTAATTGCGAACCCAATCTTTATGAGGCCTAAATCTATTATTTATCTTTTATTTCCTTTTATACTAGGTCAGACTTGTAGAGCCTATATAAAGGAATGTTTAGGAGACCTTGTCATTCAGTTTTAGTTTTAGTTTTAGTTTTCGTTTTGAGAGTTTATGTTTTTACAGTTTCAAGATTCAATTGCAATTTACGTTTTCTCTCTTCTACTATTTGTTCTTCTTTATTTTCTTAATTTCAATTATGGTTTTCTACTTAGCCATGCTAGGCTAAGCGTTCTTTAATCAATCCAAGAATTAAGAATTCTGCGGTTGAATCCGGAGGACCTGTGCTTGATCTTGTTCCAAATCATTTCTCTTCCTTCAACTCAGATTCGAGTTCTGCGATTGCAACTAAGGTAAGTGATTGAATGTTAGATTTAATGTTTAGGTTGATTAACCCAATTATTTTAAGTCAAACGGGCTGATACTTCGCGATCGCGCGAGTAGATGCACCGTATTGATCAAACATAGGCGATCGTCTAGAGAGGAGTTCCTAATCAATTGCACGGATTCCAAATTTCTTAGGGTCAACCACGATTTGGTAATCCTTTGTCCAATGATGGATATATTGGAATCCTCATTCTTGGGTTGATTTCTTTTAATTGATAATTTCAATTTTTAAATCCTTGTTTTTACTTTCTATTTTTAATCACACAAACCCCCCTTTTTACTTCTTGTTTTTAATTGATCGATTATGATCCTTACAAATTCCTTGAGAGACGATTCAGGTTGCCCATTTTATTACAAATCTTTAGTTTTACAAACCTGATTAATTTGAGTGAGTTCGACAGCTCACGTCAAGGAACCACATTTTCAAAGAACTGAAATTTTAGAGGGACCAAAAGTTGACTTTTTTTGTAAGGGACAAAAACAAGTACCGTATTTTTGTTGGGGACCCAAAAGAGGCTTTGCTGTTAGTTATATTTCCTAGCATTTTGAACCAACCTCTTATGCTAAAGCATCACAGTTGCCTGAATGGTGTGCAACTATGGATGTTGAGCTGTGTGCTCTTGAAGCTAATCATACCAGGTCTATTGTTTCTTTGTCCCCTAATAAAAGTTCAGTAGGCTATAAGTGGGTTTACAAAGTAAAATATAATGTTTATGGTTCTCTTGAGAGGTATAAAGCCTGGCTTGTACCCAAAGGCTACACTCAATAGGAAGGGATAGACTTTCTTGACACTTTCTCCCTTGTAGCAAAAATAACTACTATTCGGCCTCTTATTGCTTTGACTGCTATTCATAATTGGCACTTAATTCAAATGGATGTTAACAATGCCTTTTTGTTGAAACATAGGTCATGAAGACCATGATTAATGAAGTTTTGATGATAACAAAGAATCTACAAAGGTACAATATAGCTCAACATGAAAGCTCTCAATGAAAGGCATGTCAACAAGTTCTAAAAGGCACAAGAAGTCAATAACAAAGTGCAAAGTTGAAAAGAAGACTTAAATTGGCAAAGTCAAAGCTTTCAAGCTAAAAGGGAGTACAAGAAAACTCAAACCATGAATGCAATGAAGACTTATGTACTTACTAGTTTTAATAGTCTTATCTAAGTCATAGAAATTATAGGAATAAGTTTAGGCAAAAAAATTAATTTACTGCTTTTTATAAATTAATTACGCATTTATTACACTTTTGAAAATAATTACACATTTATTGGACAATATGACGCCCAATTTGGGCGTCACTAAAGACGCCTAAATTAGGCTTCACTCAAGAGGCAATCACGCCTAATTTAGGCGTCACTCAAGAGACAATCACGCCTAATTTAGGCATCACTCATCAGGTGTTGACACGTGTCATATTTTTTTTCCAAAAAAATAATAATTTAATCATAAAACTCTTGAAGGTCATAACTTTTGACTCGGGTATCCAAATCAGGTAATTCTTTTTTTGATCCCACATAAATTTTTGAGATCTACCTAATGACATCCCATTTGATATATTTTATTTCTCAGAAACATAATTTAAATTTAAATCAAGTAATCCTTCTTTCTTAGAGATTTAGAATATTTATTTAATTATTTCCTTCATTAATACAAATTTTTCAAATTGATTTTTGAGTTTAAATCACAAATCAAATCTTTATTTTTTTTCTTATTAATAATAATTGTTATGTTTTAATTTAAATCACATATCAAATCTTGATTTATTTTTATATTATATCACAAACCCAGAACTCAGAGGCTTTCGAGTTTAAAAATGTGACACGTGTCAACACCTAACACGTCACTAATGACATCTAAATTGGGTTTCAATCAAGAGGCAATCACGTCGAATTTAGGTAATTTTATTTTTGAAAAACATTCATAAGCCATAATTAATTTCAGACCACAAATAATAACCAGAAGCTTATAGCATTAATCTTTAATTTCAAAAATAATATCCTTCTTCCTTAGAGATTTAGAATATTTATTTAATTGTTTTCTTTATTTCTACAGATTTTTCAAATTGATTTTTTAGTTTAAATCAGAAATCAAATCTTTATTTTGTTATCCTTATTAATAATAATTTTTTTTTTATTTTTTATTTAAATCACAAACCAAAATTTTTTTATAATAAAAAAAATTATAAAAAAAATTTAAATCATAAATCAAAATTTTATTTATTTTTTATATTAAATCACAAATCCAGAACTGAGAGGCTTCTGGGTTTAACCGCTCTTATAATACAATTCTT